TGGTGTCTCAGCAGGGGCTCAGCACTGATCACTTTCAGCAGCAGTCATCATGAGACAAGCCTTGATAAAAGGCCTGTGCTGGGTGACACGAACCTGTGCTCCTTCTGCATGATGCCTCCACTGACAGTCCACTGTGCAAGCAGAGGGTAGCCAGGGGCACAGCTGACTGACATCCATCCATCCTGCTGTTCGGCGACTCCTCTGCAGTATTAACATGAGGCAGAAAGATGCACATATTGTCTGGCTACTCCTGTAGGTCCATCTTCCCCTCTTGCCCTTTTCAGGCCCCTGAGGAGCCAGCAGGACGTCACAACCCAGAAGCTCATATGCGTCCCTCCCTCAGGCCACTACTCTGTCTGCTCCCTCCCTACAAAGTGGATATCCACATGAACTGCTAGAAGCTCAGCCCCATGGAGGATTTCCCATTATTGTCCTTTAGGGTCACCCTGAATGGGACTGTAGTGTACCTGTGGTTCATTTTCAGTTCATATCAACACATCAAACTGACCCATACACGAACCAGACCAGAATGTTTGTTTGTTTTGTCTAAGAGAGAAGTATCAGTGCAAAGCAGATGTGGGGCCACACCGCCACCTCTTCCTGTAAATGACTGTTACCCACTAGACAGGCTTGGGGCCAAGCCCAAGGCCACCTTTTTCATTGCACAGTCAATTGCTACTGAGCCTCTGACCTACTGACTTGGAGGATCTGACAATACCTCACTTGGGCAGACTCTGCTGCAAGGTCAGATGCCCTACCAGAAGGTGCTCAGTCTCTGCTGGGGTCGGGTAGTGTGCCTGACACTGCTTTCACTTGGTGAGCAGTTCTCTGCTGCAGAAGGCACGGTCTTGTCCAAGAACTCTAGGACACTGCACTGCGACTCTTCCGTTGGAGTTTGCCAGAGATGCCATATGGGGTCCTTCCTACTCCAAATAAGCCCCCCGGTAACCCACTGGATCTACGCAGCAGGGAAGCCCATCTCCCAATCCAAATCTTTAGCAGAGCCCTCTTTTTCTCTGAGTCCTACTCAATGCTGGAAGTTTTCCCATTACCCAATACAGGGGTCAGAGAGGTATCCCCTAGTGCAGTGCATGCTGACTCCAAAACAGAGGTGCATCAATGCTGTGCCTCTTTCTTCCTTATAAGGATGCAGGGTGCAGTAACTTGTCCCTGGCTCACCCTCAAACGCTGCACCCCTGAAAATGTCACTGATATGGCAGGCTCCAGAACTTCTGAGGGCTTTCCGCTCATCCTCTGACATGCATTGCGTTAACAAGGCCAGAGCACTTCCTTCTCCACCGTGTCCAACTAGTATGATGTCATCGATGTTATATGGAATATCGATAAGCTACCTAAGGTCCAACTGGTATGATGTCATCAGTGTTATATAGAATATAGATGATAAGTGGCCTAAAGTCCAACTGGTATGACATCATCAGTGTTATATGGAATATAGATAAGCTACCCAAGGACTATTGTGACAAGAGAATAGGAGAGTTCAAACAGCACGAAGCAAGACAATTTATAGAGCTGTCTTTCCCATATAAGTGTGAACTGCCTTCAATCCTCTTTACCACTGGGAATTGAAAAGAATGTTCACCAAGTCAATAACTGCGTTATCGAGTGCCGGAGGTGCATTCACCGGTTCCAGGAAAGATACCACACTTAGCACAGCTGTGTGATCGGGGACACGACTTGGCTAAGTTTGTGCCGGATAACATCATTTACTTGAATCCACCAAGACTTAGCAGGAGCCATTCAGGTTAACTGAAAGGATGAAATGGTGACCACTGCTTTATAAGTCTTTGAGGGCGAAATACCTCTGCAATTATACCTGGAATGCTGGATTGTTCCTGACTTACAATCCTGGAAAGGTTTCAGTAGGTGAGGAGTTTCAAAGGCTTCTACTTTGCTCTTCCTTACCATATGGTACCAAAGGCCTGGGATTAATGTACAAGCTCGGCCCTCTGCTAGGTACAAACATCCCAAGTATGCATTGAGACCAGAGAAGTAACCACAGGACTTGGGTTGGGATTCTGATTATCATCTGATTTCCATACACCTGTACCCTAATGAGAGGGCCATGATGCTTCAGGGGTCCTGGTAACAACGTCAGCTCAGATCCTGTATCTAACAGCCCTTGAAAGATCTAGATAGTCCTTTTTCCAAAGTAAACTAGTTTTTTGGGTGTGTTTTTGTTGTTGGTCAGACAGGGTCTTGCTGTGTTGCTCAGGCTGGAGTGCAGTGGTGTGAACACAGGTCACTGCAGCCTTGACCTCCTGGGCTTAAGTGATTCTCTCACCTCAGCATCCAGAGTAGCTGGAACCACAGGCACCTGCCACTAGGCCCAGCTAATCTTTTAATTTTTTGTAAAGACAGGTTCTTGCTATGTTGCCCAGGCTGGTCTCAAACTCCCGGGCTCAAACGATCCTCCTACCTCAGCTTCCCAAAGTGCAGGGATTACAAGTGTGATCCACTGCCCCCAGCCAGAATCAGTTCCCCTTTTTTTTTTTTTTTTTTTTTTTTTTTTTGAGACGGAGTCTCGCTCTGTCGCCCAGGCTGGAGTGCAGTGACGCGATCTCGGCTCACTGCAAACTCCGCCTCCCGGGTTCACGCCATTCTCCTGAGTAGCTGGGACTACAGGCGCCCGCCACCACGCCTGGCTAATTTTTTGTATTTTTAGTAGAAACGGGGTTTCCCCGTGGTCTCGATCTCCTGACCTTGTGATCCACCCGCCTTGGCCTCCCAAAGTGCTGGGATTACAGGCGTGAGCCACGGCGCCCGGCCCACTTTTTTTTTTTTTTGAGACGGAGTCTCGTTTTGTCGCTCAGGCTGGAGTGCAGTGGCTCGCTGCAACAAGGCCTGGGTTCAACAGATTCTCCTGCCTCAGCCTCCCGAATAGCTGGAATTACAGGCACACACCACCACGCCCGAATAATTTTTATATTTTTAGTAGAGACGGGGTTTCGCTATGTTGGCTAGGCTGGTCTCAAACTCCTGACCTCAAGTGATCCGCCCTCCTCAGCCTCCCAAAATGCTGGGAGTACAGGCGTGAGGCACCGCGCCCGGCCCAGTTACTTTTTAAAGTGGCTCTAGGTCCCTTTAGGGAAGGATTGCGGGAGTATTTTTTGGTATATGCTCAGATGCTGGTATTGTAAGATCCTTCCTGAGAGGAACCAAGCCTCCTTGTCAATTAATGGGCTCTAGGTCTCAAAACTGACGCAGATTTAAACAGAATGATCATGATTTTCCACTGCAGCAAGTGACATTAGCCTTGTGATCCCCAATTTTTTATTTTCTTTCTGGTTATCAAATCAAACAATACTCTAGTCAGATGCCCCAAAGAACACCATGGTTCGACAGACACTGCCACGGATCCCTGTGGGTCCAGCGTTGCTGGTCGCCGCACCAGCCTGGGGCAGCAGCAGCAATGCAGGAGGCACGTGTTTAAATCGGGGCGCCCTCAATGTGAGGTGCGCAGGCCGAGAAGGGGGCTGCGGCAAGCTGCCAGTCTCCACCTTCCGCTCTTGGGTTTGACTCTGTAATTAGTTCTAGGCCTGGAGGAGACGAGGAGGATGGCGGAGAGGGGAATGAATGAAGACGCGCATCTCAAGCAGGGCAGCAAAAGCGTCCTCAGAGGCGCGGTTCTACAGGACAGGGGAGTCCCCGTGTGACTGGGGATTTATGCACCTGGAGTCATCGAACTGTCCCAAGGGCCATATTCCTTCAGCAAACGTTTACTGCGTACCCACCGGGTGCCCGCATCCCGCACTCTGCCCGCGGTGTGCGGCCCTGCCTAGCGCGCGCGCCTCCTCCAGGCCTCACCCAC